CGCCTCTTCCCCCCCCCCCCGTGGGGGGGTTAAAGGCTTCGATTCGGGGATCTATTGTCGCGCCCCGAGGGGACGCGATAAATCGATCCCCGAGAGGTCGATTTCTACCCGCCGATTCAGGCGGGTAGTGTAGACCTAGCCTGAGTGGTTTTTTTTCTTTCCTCAGAAGTTGAAAATATGCAGAATTATTTTCATATCAATTTTACAAGGCTGAGTAGAATTGAGCCATACCACAACCATTTAACTTTCAAGCTTTCTTTACATGATCTCATTTATGATGTGAAGTCAGCCAAGAAAGTTGAAGTGTACCCTGTTAGATTTTAACTTAACTTTTTAACTCAATTTTTTTCAGGCCTGACTGAACTCACTGACAGTCCAGTTTCCCTGGAGCTAGAGCGTTGCAAGTCTCCCACTTCAGGTAAAGGTGATTGGCATCTCTTCCTGCTATCTATATGAGCCATTCATATCATGCATCTCTGTGTTTCATTAATCCCTAGGAAGTGAAGTACATAGTCATTTACATTTATAAACAGCAGATTTTGTTTAAGAGGGGAGAGCTTGCTACATATCAAGGCATGATGCTAAGACAGTACATTTAAATTAAAAGGTAAATTGAGAATGGTGTATGGGTAGGGGAAAGACGGATGAAATCATTTGAACTGACAGTTTCTTGAAGCACAATACTCCTGTATTTCACATTGACTCTCTCAATTTTTTTGTTAGAGAATAATTCTTCAGATCATTAGAGAAGGCTTTCTAACTGGTCTTTTTAAGTGATGTTTTCAAAATAGGGTGACTCTGTGTTTTTTTTTTTATTATATAATCATTTGAAATGTTGACAGAACAAGGAGCAATGGTCTCAAGTTGCAGTGGGGGAGGTTTAGGTTGGATATTAGGAAAAACTTTTTCACTAGGAGGGTGGTGAAGCACTGGAATGGGTTACCTAGGGAGGTGGTGGAATCTTCTTCCTTAGAGGTTTTTAAGGTCAGGCTTGACAAAGCCCTGGCCGGGATGATTTAGTGGGGATTGGTCTTGCTTTGAGCAGGGGGTTGAACTAGATGACCTCTTCAGGTCCCTTCCAACCCTTTCTATGAATCTATGATGTGTAGATGGTAAATGTTAACTCTTGGAAGTAGCTGATGTCTAAAGAGCTTCTAGAATTTTGTTATGGAAACATAATATCAAAGAAAGCTCAATCACACCAGCCTCCATCTCTGCAAACCATGGGTTGTCTACCAATTTGCTCCTGAAGGTAAAATCCTGGCCTCATAGAAATTAGTGGCAAAACTGGCCCGGGAGTGGAAGTGTCACAGTTCAGCTCAATTTCCCCTCAGTGGTTCAGCAAGGGCACTCACTTTCAGCTTCCTGCTCCCCAGCCATTGCCTTTCCGGGTGGAGTCCCGCATCTCTCTCACTTTTGACTGGGGTATTTCCAGGCTGCTCCATTTCCTGCTTTCCATGTGTCTTTCCCAGCATATACATGTTGCCCAATAACACCTGCTTGCTTGCTTTCAGAGACAATTAGCAGGTGCAACTGGTACAGTTATAAATACCACACAGTTCTTTCTATACAAGCCTATTTTAGTCTTAAGGTAAAAGCATTACAGAGAAAATGGTAAAAACAAGAAAAGGACCTACTCACATGCTAATAAGTTTACCAGAGTTAACCCCAATCCTAACATGGATTCTAGCAGGCTCAGTCCTTCCGACCCTACCCTAAGGATTGGGGACCTCCCTAGACCAGGGCTGCTGGCCTTGAACCAGTTTAAAACCAGGCTATTTATCCAAAACCTCGTTCTATGTCTGAGAGTCCCTAGAGAATCCAGTTTGAACTAGTATATACGTACCTTTCCAAGGGGGTGGCTTCTCTGGAGATGTTACAACCTGTGTGAATTTGCCTAACCACGCCCTGCTTTTCTCCTGTTTATCCTTCCCATGGAAATATGAAAAATTCCGCAGTATCATATACACAATTGCATTTTTAATTCAGTGAACTCCAAAGACATTGAAACTAATTCCATAAGGTTTAACTTAATTCATTAAAATTCATTCAGGATATTGCTGTAAATTGTCAGTCTGTCAAGCAAGTTCAGCTCTTTCCCTAGGAACTTCCTTTGTAATTGTGAAGTCAGTGTTGATCTGTCCCAGCATGGGCTCACTGTCTTAAAGGAGCATTGCCTAGCACTGTCTTCTAGTAGCTGGTCCTTTATATTTGGTGGAGAGAAGCAGCTACAGCCCTAAGGTGGCCATTTTGCCTCTGGTGCTGCAAACAGCAACTCCTTTCCATCCATTTGGTAAGTATTTTTAGCTACTATCCTATTTTCCCTTTCTCTTATTCATGAGGAGGTAAACATCCACAAACATACTCTTCAAATCTTCAGCCTTTGGCTCCCATATTTTATTAAACTTTAAAGGGACATGGTCACTCCAAATCTGGCCCGGCAATTAGTATGTTACAAAACCTAAGACCAATATAAATGTTTCAATGACATTTTAAAAACTGCAACAGAATTAGTTATTTTTAAAAAAGAAACAGTCTCTGTAGTATTTTTAACCTAAACTTTGCAGATCTGAAAACATGAAAGTGAAACTGGATAGAACAGTATTGCCAGCCCCAAGAATTCAAAATCATGAGTTAGGCCCCAAAAATTAGTGAAATTGGCTTAAAAATAACAAATTTGGGATTCTTTTTATTTACCTTCTGGTTTTTGAGCCAGTGGGGTCTGCATTTTCAAACTTTTTCTCTGAGGGCTAGAAATTTACTTTCTCTTTTCAATATAAGCTGAGATTCTCACGTAGGCCCCAACTTTGCAAATCCTTATGCATGTGCTTAACTCTTGTAGGGGTGAGGTGCCATTGGGCCTACTCATGGTAGTAAAGTTAAGTGCATATTTTTCTAATACTGTCCGAAACTATTTGCTTTAGATCAGTTGATTTCCAGTTATTTTGCACTGGAGCTTACATTTGTTCTGCTGTTTGTCTTTTTGGGAAGCAGTCGTCAGGGTAAACCATGACTGTTTTATGTGTGTTACCTAATTTAGTTCTTCTAAGCACACCAATATTTATTGTATTTATGTCTTTGAAATGTAAAACTTAGGGCTTGTCTTCACTACCCGCCTGGATCGGCGGGTAGAAATCGATCTCTCAGGGATCGAATTATCGCGTCTCATCGGGACGCAACAATCGATCCCAGAATCGAAGCGCGTACTCACCAGCCCAGGTAGGAATAAGCGCCATCGACAGGGGAGCTGTGGCGGTCGATTTGCGCCGTCCTCACAGCGGGGTAAGTCGGATCGGATACGTCAAATTCAGCTATGCTATTCATGTAGCTGAATTTGCGTATCTTAAATCGATCTCCCCCCCCCCAGTGTAGACCTAGCCTAAGTCACCAGCTGAAATTTTATTGGCAGTGGCTGTCATTCAAAAATACCTCTGGTTTAAAATAAAATGTTTTTTTCATATGAGCCTATTTAATATGTCAGAAAGGGTAATGGATTTGCAAAATGCAAAGATGGTTGTGCTTCAGCATATCAGCTGCAATAGGGGGCAAGTCCGAGGCCCCTCACAATTGGAGTAACTAAACTATGAAAATGGGATTTCCAGGATACTTATGAGTGGAAAGCCGCAAGAACCACTGAGTAGCTTAATGTAGCCTCAGGGCTTCAGTAACCCTTGTAGCTATTGGTCCTTGCTTTTCTTGAGGAGATGACTGGTGAATCTGCATTGTTATGGATTCACTAGCCACAATCCTGCTAATCCCTTTGATCCCCAAAGTGTTCATTTGACGTGGCACACAAGGAACCCATGGAACTAGGCTCCATAGCGGTCTCTGCACAGTCCTCTGATGTCCACCCTCCCTACTTGTGCAAGCAAACCACCATCCACTCCACAGAAGAGACAGTAGGACTTGGTCCTCCGCAAATATATCAGAATCAGAAAATAGATTCGGAGGGCCAGAGTCACTTTCACTGATGCAAGAGGGTGCAAATTTCTCTCCTTGGGCACACTGGGCGACGCCCTGTTTCACCTCCAGAACAGAGCATTGTGGCTGGATTCTGTCAGGAATCCAGGGACCTTTCAGTTGCAGTCAGGCCTCCATAAGAACTCTACATATGGGGGCTGCTTGGATAAATCATCACATATCCTGCCCTGCCCTGCCCCGCCCCGCCCCACTCCTGGTTTGATCCTATCCAGTGCTTTGGCTGCATTGGCTAACTCCAGGTTCCCCTGAAAAATGGTATTTGCAGCATCAAACCCTGTTCCTTGTGGATTTTGTACTTCTGCCCCTTGGTACCGATAGTGTAAGATCAGGCCTATTAAATATTTAATCCAGGAACACTCAAGAATTCCATACAATTATCTGTTTATACCCCTATTTTTCCACCACCATTTGTCATTTGAGTTGAGTCACTGATGACTCTACTTGTAGAGCCCGTGCTGTGAATATTAGAACCCTGAGTTAATGATGCAGCTCTGATGGAATACTTATTTTAAACATGATGACAGTGTCCTAGTTACAGTACAAATCCAACCTGTTCCAGCAGGCAATCATTTAAACCTCTTACCAGGGGTTATCTTTTTACTTAGCCCTGTTGTATGATTTTAGAGGCCACGGGGATGCAGTGAATAAAACTGGAAAATCAAAAGGCCATCCTGAATCCCCTTTGGACTTAGAACATGGAATTACATGGCTTGAGGGAAAGATTTCTCAAACTCAGTATGCCACATACTGTCTTTTGAGTAAGGGAAAACAATTCCAGCCCACACTTTGATGGGGTTTGGCAGGAGACATGGAGAACAGTCTTTTTGCTGGTATGCCCGTGGAATTTGATTAGCATTTAAATGCTAGTGTTGGATTCATGATACCATAGATATATGGGAAATGAACTTTAACAAAACAATTTGGAAAATTCTATTTGTATGTGGATACCTGGGCTGTGGCAGATTGCACAAAAAGTTTTCTTTTAATGGAAACATAAATTAGGAAAAATTGCAGAATGTAAACAGTTCTCTTTTTAAATGTGTCTCTCATGATGACAGTATGGTTTACCATACAGTGACATTTGATTGATTTATTGCCTGTTTAAAAATCTCAGACAGTGGAAAGAAATATGTTGATTGATGTTTTGAGCTCACTCTTTGTGGGTGTTATTATGATGCCTTATTTTAACTCAGGAGTGCAAGATTGAATGAAGAAAGCCAAATTACATTTTTATTTATCATCTGTGATTTGGAGTTCAAAAGTTAAGTCTGTATACTACCTTCAGTCTACCATTGGAACTGTGAGTGCTCAGTATCACTGTGAAAAAACAGGCCATAAACTCTGAGGCTTCACATGAAACTTTTATGCCATGAATAAAGTAAACAGGGCTCTACAAAAGCCCATACATAACACATTTTAGGATCAGTGCCTTATTTAGTAAACTTACTGTTTTTCACCATACCTCATTAAGAAAAATTGATTCAGGAACTTTTAGGAACAGATATTTCTGTCCCTTGTTTATTTGGCTATTTTACACTAAGTTATAGCAATTAGACATGCAATTGAGAGCACATACTGTGAGCACAAAAATCTGTCCTTTACGTATAGGCTTAGAAGGATTAGATTTTTATTGGTAATGTTGGTATACATCGATTTCACTGTGTACACACACACACACTGACAAAAAACTTTTCAGTATATAATTGAAATTTACAGATAGGCAAAGTAAGAAAAATGCTGCTTGAGAACTTAGAGTTCGATTTAAGGCTATTTACTTTGTATGTTTTGACATGTGATGTTGACAATTTGTGTTTCAATGGTTATAAAATTTTAACATTTTGAATCTCAGTATCTACGATAATTAAATAATTATTGTCTGACATGTATATTCTGAATCCCATAATTTTCCACCAAGGTAAACATTTAAATCAATAAAAATCAAATAAAATGCTTAAGAGTAAGCATCAATATTATCCATCAAACTTACAATAAATTAAAAATCAAATTCTGCCAGACCTATTTAAGTGTCATCATTAGGTGTGTGATGGAGCAGAGAAACTGGTGCCTTGCACAGCAGAAATTAAAGAAAACCTGTGGGTTCAGCTAGCCCCACCCACTATACCTGCAGCCAATGCCAGCCTGGGATTTGGTTCAAATTAAAAATAAAACTCTTGTGGCAGAGACCAAGCAAGGAAACTATCAGAGCAAATATAGGCAATATAGCTCTGATTTGAACATAGAAAAGAGTGGCATGCATTTCTGAAAACAAAAATGAATTATGAAATTAAAATAAAAGTCCTGCATTGGAAAAACAATCTTCTAAGTACTCAATAAATGACTTCCTAAGGCATTTTGTCCAAATCCAGAATCCCTTTGACTGCTATAAGGCATGCTACATTTGAATTCCTCTGTGGTGCTCATGGCTTAAAATGTTGTTTGTGTTGAAGTGATATTGAAGGAAAAGTTTCTGAACAGAAGCAAAATGAGAGATTCTTAATTGCAACATTTTTCAGGTACTCTCTCATTAAAGTTTTCAGCAAATGAAATAAACTCAATATAGTGTTTTGATTTCTAGAAAATACTAAATTTTATCTTAAAGCTAATGTATTTCATTTCTATGCAATCTGTCCCCTCATCTATAATATATACTGTAATGTGTGCTGCCTCCATCATATATGCAATAAGCCCTCTCCTTTACAATTGATGTCTTAAGGTATGATGTCATCAGAACCCACTGACTCAGTAGCACCCTCTTATTAAATTGATTTCCAGTTATTAAAATACTTTTATGCAGTGCTACATCACCAGCCTTTGCAATATTTGCCTTAATCTCATTTGCTTTTTTGGTATGCCAGTCATGGTAAGGTAAGATATTGCAATACACAGCAAAGACTTTGTAAAGGACCATTCACTTCTCTGCAGCTGGAATACTGGCTTTTCCAGTGCTTCTGTCTTCAGATTAATTTATTTTGCTGAATGATGCTAGGCAAACACCATTTCTGAAGACATTTGAACACCATTTCAGCCTTTCTACGCTGATACAAAATGTGCAACATGATTTTAAGCGGAAGATGGCATGTTGTTCTCCCTCGTTCCTTTTTCTTTCTTAATTATTAACAACTGCCTTTCTCCTTTTTCTGTTGTTTCAGTTAAAGGATCAAGAAAGTTAAGTCTGCCAACAGATCTTAAGACTGATCTTGGTACGGTAGGCGAAAGCCGACAGTTTTAAGTTTCCTTACATTCATTTGGCAAAACATTTTTACCAACTGATCCATAAGGTAGCACGATAACCTTTGAAGGCTTTGTTTGAAAAGGCTTTCTTAAAAACCACCTATTAACCCATACAGTTCTGTTGGCAGCATTCAGCATTTTGCTTGTTTAACACTCATTTTTCATGTGATTACATTTTGCAAATCATTGCACACTTGAGTGTGTAATTTTTTATAATGAAATGACTTCAGACTTTTGGAAAAATTTGAACCATTCTGATTGGTTGTCAGCAATGCTTATCTGTGTCTGTAACAGTGCATGCAGTAGTGTATTTTCCTAATTGTATGTATACATTCCATTACATAACAGTGATGAGACACTTAGGCTTATGTATTTTATAGTGTCTGTTGCTCTTCTCAGCTGTCAGGTCAGGTTTCGGCCATTTGTGTCTCAGAACACCACTTGAAACTATAATAAGCTCTTAAATGCACTGCTTGTTGTGTCTTATTCTTCAATTATCTTCTTTAATTATTTTAGTGAAGTGGAACAGTAAATGAGGGCAAAACGTGAGCCCAGGGAGCCTAAAACCAACATTTAAAAGAGGGCAGATAAACTGAAAATAATTGGGTCAGATCATGCCATCTTAGACACATATATAGGGCCCTACCAAATTCACCGCCATAAAAAACGCGCCATGGACCGTGAAATCTTGCCTCCTCCCATGAAATCTGGTCATTTGTGTGCTTTTACCCTATACTATACAGGTTTCATGGGGGAGACCAGTGTTTCTCAAATTGGGGGTCCTTCCCAACAGGGAGTTGAAGGGGGGGGTGTCACAATGTTATTTTAGCGGGGCTTGCGGTATTGCCGCCATTACTTCTGCCCTGCCTTCAGAGCTGGGCGGCCAGAGAGCAGCGGCTGTTGGCCAGGCACCCAGCTCTGAAGGCAGTATGACGCCAGCAGCAGCGCAGAAGTAAGGGTGGCAATATCATACCATACCACCCTTACTTCTGCGCTGCTGCCTTCAGATTGGACGGCCAGAAAGTGGCAGCTGCTGACTGAAGTCCCAGCTCTGCAGGCGGCAGCACAGAAGTAAGGATGGCAATACCATGCTATGCCATTCTTACTTCTGCGCTGCTGCTGGCAGCGGCTCTGCCTTCAGAGCTGGTCTCCTGGCCAGCAGCTGCCACTCTCCAGCTGCCTAGTTCTGAAGGCAGCGCTGCCGCCAGCAGCAGCTCAGAAATAAGGGCAGCAGTACTGCAACCCCCCACACCCTTACAATAACCTTGCAACACCCCCCACACACACAACTCCTTTTTGGGTCAGGACCCCTACAATTACAACACCATGACATTTCAGATTTAAATAGCTGAAATCATGAAATTTTTAAAATCCTATGATTGTGAAATTGACCAAAATGTACAATGAATTTGGTAGGGCCCTACACATACATGAAGGGAGCCCTCAGGCATAGATGTCCCTCTTCCATGCTTACGGTGGGCTTAGCATGGCACCATCCCCTTGCCTCTCTCCCTCTTCTAGGGTTTGTTCTGGGGAATGGGAGGAGTAAGGGTGAATCAAGTTTATTTGGTCTACAAGGCTCACACAAAGGATTTTTAAAAGAAATGTCTTCTATTATAAAGACTCTTAGTCATGTGGAGTCTATTTTGCTCTCAAATTGTAGTAGTGATATCTATATATATATATTTTAAAAAAAAGTAAAGAAGAGTGACTCTAGCAATTGCTTTCCTGTAACACTAACTTCTGTCCCTAGTAAAATAATGTTGATGTCACTTGATAGTTGTTGTCAGTAGCTACCGGTGTGGTGCTCTGCTTCTTGTTCGATGATGATAACAGATGGCCGCATGCGTGTTCCCTTTGTGTGCTGCCCCAGCTCTGCGCAGATAGCTGACACAGCAGACCCCGAGAGAACCCCCAAAGACCACAGACTCTAGTAAGGTACGAAGGAACCTGAGCCAGGTTTATTGTCAAACGAAGCACAGTAATAGTTTCCCGTAGACTCTACAAGCCATACTACGAATTTGTGCCCCCTGGCAATGGACCGGCTCAGTCAGTGGTGGGACTTTCCACTGCCCCCTAGGCCAGACAAAGATGCGCACTCCGGGACCTACTTTTATACAGTTACAGGACAGATTACTCATCCCTACTGACGTATTGAGGTACAGCCTCTTGGCTCATTAGGGGGCTGTCTCCCCCTTTGATCATGTTGTTTCAGACAAACAGACCTATCCATCATGCTGTACTTTCGACCCTGTCTTCAAGATACACCTGCCTGTTCCTTGTTATGTCTATGGAGTGTCCTTGTATCGGACTGTCCAGGTGCCATCTTGGCACAAGTTCCTCTCATTAGCTCCTAGATCTTATGTACCTGCTTCTAGCAGCCTTCTTCTCGCCAAC